AACACCATAGAGCAAATTATTGCCTCAAATCAAAGTCACATAGCCACAAACCTCCATTTTAAGGAGCAGTTAACTCTCTGGCTGTGGTGGCAATACAGTCCATTCAAAACTGGGGGACTTGTGAGAGAGCAAAGACATTTGGGATAGAACTTGGCATCTAAATGCCAGTGGGGGGCTTTAAAACGGGAACATGTCCTAAGAGGCTGAACATTCAGGAGTGACTGTTTTTATCTTCCTCTCCTGCAAACTCAGGATAAGTCTGGGTATTCTAAAATGTGATATTTTAAAAAGGGGAGAGTAAAAAACAGCTATACCAGTTGCAGAGAGACTGTAAGAGTTCTGGCTACCTGAACGGTTACCTGATGCTGCCAAAAACTGTAAGATATCTGCTGCTGCAGGTACGAAGCATCCTGGAATACAAAAACTGAGCTTTTCAGGACCTCTGATCTTCATCGGCTTCTGTCAGGTGCTGCATGCACCTGCCCTCAATTTAAACTAAAACAATGTATTTAACTTTATATTAGACTGAGTGATCCTGCACTGATCTCTAGTGGCTGGAAATTTTCTCAACCCAATTTTAAACCTTTGGCATGATTCTTTAACCTTCATTCCCAGTTGTACTCCGGGGTCCCCCCCCCTTTATAGAAATATTTATACCCTACTTTCCCCTCATGGTGGCTTGACATTCCAGGATTAAACATATAAAGCCTCATGTGGCCTGGGACCAACGTATGTAAGGGTCTGCCTCTCCCCATATGTGCCCCGGAGAGCATTGCGCTCTGTGGTTAGCCATCTATTGGTTGCCCTGGGCTGGAAAGATGCTCGTCTAGCCTCAACCAGGACCAGGGCTTTCTCGGCCCTGGCCCCGGACTGGTGGAACGTGCTCTCGACCGAGATCGGCCTTGCGGGACCTGTTACAGTTTCATAGGGCCTGCAAAACGGAGCTGTTCCCCCAGGTCTTTGGTTGAGGCAGCGGGCATCTACCAGCTGGCCTCCCTGTTGCTGTATGCTGCGATTAATGAAGCCTTTATGGCTCGGCTCCAGCCCACTCATTCCCGGCTGCAGGAACTGAAAATTGAAATCCGCTACACTGCCCCCTTTTAACTGGTTTTACTGTATTAATTTAATGTTTGATATCTATTTAATTTTAAGATTTATTGGAATTTATTGTTGTGACCTGCCCTGAGCACACTTGCAAAAAGCGATATAGTTTGAAATAATAAATACAAATATGCTAAAGTCCCATTTTATTCCCCTTTCCAAGAAAGCACCTGCACCTTAAAGCCCTCTCAAATAAAATAGCCTTACAATACCTCCCAAAGTTTTCCCGAAAATAAGACCTACCCCAAAAATAAGCCCTAGCAGAATTTCTATGCATTTGTGGTATAAGCCGTAGTGTGTCTTCTTGAGGAAAAAAAAAAAACAAAGACAGTGTCTTATTTTCGGGGAAACACGGTACACGCCAGGTAGGAGCCACTATAGGAATGGAACGGAGTCTGCATAAATGGCAAGTGAAGCAGGGGGACAAGAATATGGCGTGGGGGGGGCAGTGGGCCAACACAAGTGTTGTGTGTGTGATCAAAGCTGTTAAGAAATAGAAAGAAAATGGCTAGGGGACCAGGGTTAAGAGGCTGAGGTAAAATAATGTGGGGGAACAGCAGTGCAAGCATGTCTTTTTTTCCCCTTCCTGCCTCTACCCACAGTTCAGCGAGGGTTGGCGAAGCCACTACACGGGGCAGGGGGTGAGCTGAGCAGCCGGCGCTACCACCACACCAAAAGGCTTTGTGTTTTTTCAAATGGTGACTGTGAAGAGGGCCCGTGGATTGGCATTACGTTTTATGCCACTTACAGCCCAGCCCAGCGACATCAGTGCTCCCTGTAAGCTGAGCTAGTGTAAGCTAGCTCAGTTTTTTAGACTCTGGCTCACACATTTTTGTCTTAGCTCAGGAAAGATGGCTCCAGAGCAAACTAATTTATGCAGTAGCCAAATTGCTCACTCACGACTTTAAAGCCAGTAGCTCACAAAGTAGCATTTTTGCTCATAAGACTCCACAGCTTAGAGGGAGCATTAGTCAGATCTGGCCTTCATAACAAATGAGTCTGACATCTCTGAACTAGAAGCAACCTTTGTCTTTCTCCCTCCTTGCTATGGTTTTATGCACTGTATTCCAGATAGTCGTTGCCTTTAGAAAATTCACCAGGTTCACCAATGGTGCTGCTGCTAAAGTCACAGAAAGGGCTTAACTCTCTCTGTCTCTAAACAGGTCTTGGCTGTTCTACAGTTCTTTCACCTGAAGGTGCCGGACAGTTTGCTGCACAGATTTTGGGGCTGAATAACCACTTTGTCTGGGCCAAGCTTCGAGCAAGCATGTTGAATGTGTGGATCTCCCTAAAGCAGGCTGACAAGAAGATGAGAGAATGTACCTCCTAAATAGCTTTTTATTTTCATACAATCTCTGTACTGGCCACCTGATGCTTTTATGCCATTGTATTCAAACAATTCACTTAAGTTCTTCCTATACTCATCAGAACAGTCTGCAGATTCCACCTTTGCTGTAACAAAAGATGACCAATTTTTGGCTTTCTATAAACTATAGTGAAACTTACCACTTTTTGTTATCCATTTAGAAGAATTCTTACTGATCAGTGTTGGTCAGGCATACTATGTAGAACAAGTTATTTGTATCAACTATTCTAGTTTACTGTTAATTCTAAGGCTTTTATATAAAGGCTAGCAATACAACAAAGCAATAGATAGGCAACTAAGAGTTTGTTCTAAAATACAGCCTGGTGTGATAAAATCTTAACAGTATTCATAAACAGCAGCCCTATGCCGATTTAGATGCTGACAAGAATGTTTGTCTGTGGGTCTTGTAACAGCCAACGATTTGAAGCAGTATCTTAAAGGTTATTAGACTGGTTTCAAGAACTGGAATCATTATAGCTACTGGGAATGGGGACAAGACAACTTTAAACTGTTCCAATAAAAGACCTTTCATTACTGATTTTTTATCTTTAGTGATATAAATGATGCAAGAAACCCCCATCATCACATCTACTTGTAATTCTGCTTCCTGTTACTTGCAGAAATTTGGACTTAACATAATAACATAAGAGATGCCAATGTTGGATCAGGCCAAAGGCCCATCCAGTCCAACACTCTGTATCACACAGTGGCCAGAAATACCAGTGCCATCAGCGGGGCCAGGACATTAGAAGCCCTCCCACTGTTGACCCCCCCCAAGCACCAAGAAGACAGAGCTTCACTTGCCCCAGAGTCCCTATCTATACCTTGTGGCTAATAGCCACTGATGGACCTCTGCTCCATATGCTTATCTAATTCCCTTTTGAAGCCGTCCATGCTTGTAGCCGCCACCACTTCCTGTGGCAGAGAATTCCATGTGTTAATCACTCTGGGTGACGAAGTACTTCATTTTATCCGTTCTAACCCGACCGCTCAGCAATTTCATGGAGTGCCCACGAGTTCTTGTATTGTGAGAAAGGGAGAAAAGTACCTCTTTCTCAGCCTGCTCTTTCCCATGTATAATCTTGTAAACCTCAATCATGTCACCCCTCAGTTGTCGTTTCTCCAAGCTAAAGAGCCGTAAGCGCTTCAATGTTTCCTCGTTGCCCTTTTCTGCACTTTTTCCAAAGCTATAATATCCTTTTTAAGGTGAGGTGACCAGAACTGCACACAGTATTCCAAATGAGGTCACACCATTGATTTATATAGGGGTACTATGATACTGGCTGATGTGCTGTCAATACCCTTCCTAATAATCCCCATCATAGCATTGGCCTTCTTTATTGCAGTCACACACTGTCTCGACACTTTCAGTGAGTTATCTACTACAACTCCAAGATCCCTCTCTTGATCAGTCTCTGCCAGTTCAGACCCCATCAACGTGTATATTTAGGATTTTTGGCTCCAATGTGCATCACCTTGCACTTGGCCACATTGAACCCCATTTGCCATGTTGACACCTACTCGCCCATCCTTGAGATCCCTTTGGAGTGCCTCATAATCCTCACTGGTTTTCACCACCCTGAACAACTTCGTATCATCCGCAAATTTAGCCACTTCACTGCTTACTCCCAACTCCAAATCATTAATGAACAAGTTAAAAAGCAGTGGACCAAGTACTGATCCCTGCGGTCCCCCACTGCTTACCACCCTCCACTTGTTTCAGATGCACAACAGCTAGCTCTCACACTTGTTAAGGGGCCAGTGGTGTTAGGACCATTTCACAAGAAAAATGGAGACAGCATGTTTTCATGTGGTCACTTCCAAAAAGTAATTCCATTCATGACTGTGCCTACAGAAGTATTCCCATAGTGAAAGGGTAAATAATGTGGTCTGAAAATTTCAATGCTGTTGTTTGTTCTGGACTACTAAATCAATGTTCCCAGCTTTCATGGGAAGTTGTAATTACACCACAAAAATAGAAAACGTTCTTCTGTTCCATTGGTTTCTTACCAACCTTTCCATTTTACTTCACACAGAATTCAGAAACATGGGCCTCCTATGGCAATTCATATGTATGACTATACTCTGGTTTAGGGGTCCCAGAAGTAGCTTGTACATCAGTTAGAGAACCCAGGGAAAGACCTCATAACCCAACTTTCCCATGAGGACCCAAAAACCACTTACATTGTTTTCAGAACCCCTTGAGGTTGAGGTAGAGAGTATGACTAAATCAAGATCACAAAGAAAGCTCAGAATGGGGATTTGAACCTGGGTATCCCAGATTATAACCACACTGGCTCATACTTATTCCTATTGCTTTAGACTTTTTAAAAGCTTTTTACTGTGCTTCTTAACTGGTGGCTGGGAACACCTACTTTAGGTAACAAGAATTATTAACATGTTAAAAAAATATGGTTTAAGTTTATTGAAAATTAAATATTAGCAAAAGCAAGATTTTAAGGAAATATTTCACGAAATGATTCACATACAAGACACTCACACATTGAAAATTCAAGAAGTACCTATTGGCAAGCAGAATGCCAACATTTTACACTGTAGTATGATAACATTGCTTTTATTCTACTGCTCCACTCAGCCTTCTTTCAACTTAAGCTTGAGGAAGGCTTTTAAACTTTACTGAGCCGAGTGGTAGGATACAGGCCAGTGATATGAATAAGGCATGGAAGATAGTCTTACTAGAAACCCTCAATACTGGCAAAAACCTGGAAATCTTCAGTAGTTTCTAATAAACATTCACATCAATTGTCTGTAAGAGTATGGTGAGTGAGAGCTGATCGTGGTACTATCTAGAAGAAAGAGACTATTTGCAAGTCTGATAACTTGTGTCTAGGCAGTGTACACAAAACTAGAGTTAGGAATCGTTAATACAGTTCCTAGTACACTAAGCTATAGCTGTTATGCACTTGTGTTCAAAAGGTCAGCCACCTGGAGAAAAAGAAAACATCCTGGTGCTACTTTGTGTCCAACCCCAGTCCTTCTCAGAATGCAAAATAATGTGTTCAGCGTTTCAAGATGCATCTTAAGTGAAGTGTTTCAGTTTTTATAATGGCTCCAAATTCCTACAATCTTTTAATATTGTGAAGTCTGCAATATTAATGTGTACCATTTATAGTTAAGACACTCAAAAATAAGTTTCCCATAGCAACATTCAAAACTACATTAAGTACTTGTGCAAATAGCAACAGCACGTTGCACCTGAGGCAAATTCCAAATTGCAAGTTTCTGAACATATCCCTAATGTTGTAAACTTGGACTAAGGTTGAAATCCAGCACTTTCCACCACTTGCAAGAAGTCAGCAGAAAAATTCAAATCAAAGATACATTCTCACTTGTATATAGTGCAAATACAGTAGAACTTATCCACATCTTTTGTTACTGGATTGATTTGGTGCGCAATTTTTGTGGTATCCTTTGAGCTGACTGGATCCATGTGAAGAACTAATTGTTTCAGGAAAATAAGCAATTGTGATAGTTCTCAACCCAGCATTAAATGTGCAAATGCTGCAAACACTCCAGCTGCAAGAACAGGGAGCATTTCCAGAAGATCAAGAATTCATTTGGACTGGTCTCTAGAGAAATATGTCAATATATCTTGAATTTTTATCAGTCGTTCTTCCAAAGATGTCATAGAGAACACCGAGAGCTGATATCTACGGTCCACAGGGAGGACAGCTAGAAGCCACCAACACCAAGCAGGTCCATTAGCCGTTTCCTAGGAATAAGGAACCGCATTATTACATTTGTAATGTAGCACAAAAGATTATAACAAGATATGTAAGTTAGTGGTGCTAAAAATGGGTCTTCCAAATCTATATACACTCTTTTCTTGTGTCCCTAACACTCATTTCTAGAACATCTAGATAAGAGTTTAAAATTTTTTCTTTGTAATGATGATTTGGTTTTATGGTTGCATGACCTGAGGCCTCAAGTGCAGAAATGCAGGCCATGGAATCCAGGGCTAGTTAAGCTACAGAGTAGCTGCTTCGCAGCAACTCCCCCCAATAGTGAGTTTACAGTATCTATTTTGGCCCTGACAGGGAAGGTTGCTTGATGCCCTGGCACAACATGCAAGTATCTGTTCTTACATATACTGTAGACACAAACCATATTTTCAGTATGTTTAAATATGTGTAATTTTGCCAACAGTTAAGATGCTATAATGCTTTTAATAATAAATTAAATGGCTCAGTGTTTAATCCTCTAAAATTTAACTTGGTATCCAAATATGCTGTTAGTAATATTACAACTGTATAAAACTTTCTGTCCAAATAATACACTCTTGTTTACTACAGCATTTGTTTCCTAAACTCAACTTTTATTTATTCCCCTTTAAGAGTCATGTGGTAAGGTAGCACCAGGTGCAGCAGAATGCAACTCTCAGGTAATGGGTGTACTCACAAATTTGCTTGTAGAAAATTAAGGCACATGCTGTTAAATTTCACAAATATGTAAGTAGCACAATGTATATGCAACTGACAAATGATTAAAATAAGTTTAGGTTTAATAGCATAAGGATTATATGTATTTCTATCTCCCCCCCGATTTCTGTCATACCGCCACCCCCATACCACACGATGTTCTAATTCTAAAATGCACTCCCTTAGTGTATGGCTGATGGCACTGCTCCTCAGCATATATCGCCACCAATCAGAAGGCAAAGCCCGGGTCCCGCCCACACCACAACTGCTGCGACAACCTGGTCTTTTGCATATGGAAGCTGATTGGACTTCACTCCATTCCACACCTCAAACTCCCCCCCCCCGCAAGGCAGTTGGAATGTCAGTTGCATATGGAATCTGCTGTATTCTGGTGGTGTGCAGGTCCCAGGTTCATGTTTTAAAAGCAGACTGACACTGTTTGCCCAAAGCCAGAGCACTCTCCCAGAGCCTCTTTCTAGATCCCGTTGTATTTATTTCCACAACGGGCCTTATTTCTAGTATACAGATAAATACTATCAACCAGAAGTGACAGTTGATGTGTATCATAGGATAGCCCAAAGAAAGTCATCTACAGCCTTGACCACAATGAGTAGAAAGGGAACATGACAGGGCATGAATTGGTGCTGGCAATTCCTGAGCTGTTTTCCAACTCCACCACCAAAAACGGAAAACAGAGAATTTCCAAAGGGTGCCAAGTAACATCATTCAAGTATTTAAAAAACCATCTTCTGCAAATGAGATCCTCATAGATTCCTGATTTCATTGCTCCAGAAGATGGCTTCTCTAAATGTGTTAATATTCCTGAAGTGCCAATAACCTATCTAACCCCAGATTGAGGTTTGCCCCTTTTTTTTGGCACTGCCTTTTTGCCTATTACCACTGTGACATCATCTGTTGTACTCTTTACAGATTAGCTTAACTAGTAAGGAAACAAATTAGTTTGATAGAAGCTGCTTGGTAGCTATATATATATTTGCTCAGTACCTGTATATTTGATTCCCTCTCTGGCATTGGACCAAAATGCTGAAGTATTTGGGTATGGAATTTGTTTCTTAAGCTTTGGAACCAGTTGCAAGCCTGGATGTATACAAAATCATGAAGCTCTCCAAGTTTCTTCATCTCACTTTCATCTTTAATCTAGGTATGAAGAAAATAAAGGGTAAACTGAAATGCACCAAGGTCTTTATGCAGGCTTATTTTATACAGAACAGTAGATCCAATATAAATTATCTAGAAAGAGAAGGAAAAATAAATGCAGCAACTATTCACCATCACAATACTACCATGAGCAAGGTGGTCTGTAAAGAAGTTACACACACCTACATTGCTTGTACATAGAATTGCACTTAAAGCAACGCTGTCAAGGAAGAAGCTCTTTCATGAGAAGCAGCTCAGTTGACTGAGTCAGAGCTCCTACCAAAGGTTGAATATTATACAAAATAAAGGTGTTTAACATATATTTTTTTAAAAAACCTTAAGAGCATTTGTGCCTGAAATGGTGGACACCCCCCTTTTATTCTCGTGTCTAGACTAGTAAACTGCCACTTTAATTCACTGTAGAAATATGCTAAGCATACGTAAACAGACAGCTGTGTGCTCTCTTCTGGCTTTATGACTGCAAAAGACAACTGGAGTTGCATGTTCAACCAACTGAGCTATATGTGCAACCTAGTTTCTCCACAGCTGGGGTGGGGCCACAAGAAGAGAAAACAAAACGCAGATCAACTGACCTGCTTGTGTCCCATCTACTCCCAATTAAGCAAATCAAAGCATTTGTTCTATCGATAAAATATGACCTATTGTCACCTACTGTAAAATTCCTTCCCACCTCCCAAACTTTCACTTAAAATTAACAGAAGAACCTTAAATCAAGAATCAGTGAAATCTGTATCTGCGGTTTCTATTTAGCATATTTACCTATTCCTATTGCTTGCCAAAGGCAAGGGCTGCAAAAGCCATGATGCCCTGTGTGAGATGAATGCTTATGACAAAAAAGAATGAGGTATAAATGAATACCTTTGTATCTTCCAAATACTCAATGTCTGCAGTGCAATACCCATCCTTCATCCCTCTTTGCAGAACTCTGAATCTCCTTAATCCAACTGTATCAACGATAGACCGTCCATCTGGCAGATAGTCAACATTTCTAATGTACAACATGCAACCATAATCTGCAAAACTAGAATAAGGGACAGAATCAGTACTCATGCTAGAAAGTTTTTTTCACAAAAGTTTAAGCATCTTTACACTGTGGAACATATACATACCCCTTTTGTGGGTCACTGATACACATCCCAAATTGTTTTGTCCCCGTTTCTATACTCCTTCGAATCATTAGTCTATATCTTGGCTCAAACACATGAAGAGGACAAGGCACAGTAGGGTAGGCCATAGTGCAAACAAAAATTGGAACATTACTGGTCAAACTGGAAACAAAAATACAACAGAATTTAAGTCTTGCAGTACTTTGATCTACTTTCTTCCAATACTTTTACTTTACAATAGTAGGCAAGGTTTCATATGTGCACTCCTTCATATTAATGTTTTACAATAATTCAAAGCATCTAGCCAACTATTTTTTTTAAAAAAAAATCACTGAAATTAGTAGCAGTCCTTCAAGTTCCTTAAGTGGAGACAAACATACATGCTTAATCCTGAGTTCCTTATAAACATACTGTCATGAGCAACAACCTCTCCTGGCAAGCAGATGATTAGCAGCATTTGAAGATAACAGCACTGATCACATGTTTGAGATGAAGAGAAAGGGGGCTAGTCATTTTCCAACTCAAGTGATGAGCATTTTCAGACATGAAAATGCTGACCACTGACGCCAGTGTCCATGCACTCCCTGTTTTATTTGTCTTTCAAACTGTCCAAAATGGTATGTGGATACTTGACTCTAAAAAACTTGTTTTTCGTATTCAAAATAAAATGTACTACTCAAAAGCTTCACACTGAAGAGTTACAAGAATGAAAATGAAGTGAAGATCCTACAAGTACACGTTCATGAGCCATGGTAGAAGAATGGTTGGTGTGCTGGACTTAGTCGTGCATGTGATGGCGTCAGACTTGTGACTACACATGCAGGTCTGGCCAACCACATATAAAATCACATGTACAAATAGGAGATGGGGAAATCATTTAAAAGAGCAAGAGATGTGATGTGCAAACACGGAGTGCTGAATTTTCCCCCCAAAACACAAACTCAAAAAGGTCTCCCAGTTTATCATGGAGTCAGTCTTAATGCTGTGCTGTTCTGCCAGACAGGCTTCAATACAAGAAATGAACCTACAGAACATTCAGGATCTTTATAAAACATGCCCAGTTCAGATTGGGTCTGCAGTATGACTGGGGCAGCCTTCCCCCACTGTGCTGTTTTCCAGATCAAAAATGATCCCAGAAGGGCACAATTTGCTTCCTTCTCCCATGTAACTGTTATATTTATTAGTATCATAAATACCGTTTTCCCGAAAATAAGACCTACCCAAAAAATAAACCCTAGCAGGATTTCTATGCATTTGTGGTATAAGCCCTAGTGTGTCTTCTTGAGAAAAAATAAATATAAGACAGTGTCTTATTTTCGGGGAAACACGGTATGTGCAATTCTTCAGCAGTCTAGAATGGGGCAATTTTAGACTAAAGGAAAAAGCTCCTCCTGTAGATAGTCTGAGTCCAGGCTTTCAGATTCTATGGGAAGGGATTTTTTGGTGTAAGTGTGCAGACTCTAATCTGGGAGAACCAGGTTTGATTCCCCATGCCTCCACTTACAGCTGCTGGATGACCTCGGGCAAGCCATAGTTCTGTCAGAGCTGTCCTTGAAAGGGCAGTTCTTGAAAGAGCTCTCTCAGCCCCACCTACCTCACAGGGTGTCTGTTGTGGGGAGAAGGGAAAGAAGTCTGTAAGCCACTCTGAGACTATGAGTGAAGTATAAATCCAATCTCTTCTGGTTTCCAGTTTCAGCCTTGTTTAGCAACAGGCAGGCTGTCCTTTTGCACTCCAGCAGAATGACAAAACTTTTTTTTAAAGCAGCCTGTTTTTTCCTACACCCTCTAATCTTGGAGTGGGGGGCACTTTGTTCCACCTCCCAGCATTGGAGAGGTCTGTCTCAGCTGGTTCCCCTAAGGCCTAGGTTCTCCCCATACTAGCTGCGGAAGGAGAAAGCAGCCCAGAAGGAATGAGAGCCCTAATTCCAGGAAGAACTTCCCCCTAGTAATCTAAGACTGCTCCAACCTTGGACCACTGAGAATGGAAATTCATGGTAAGCAAACAAATCTCCCTTTCTACAACGAGGCAAAGAGCACTGCCCTTTGGCTATTTTTTACTGGAAAACCAGTGCGGGGGGGTGGGGTGGGGGGGGTTTAAAAGTCCTCACCACTTACACCATGGTCCCAGTCTGAACCAAACTCCCACCCACTTATTGAGCTATTGTGTAGTTAGGCCTTTGAAAAAACAGCCTCATACTGCCACCTAGCTATGCAGCTCATGATATCCTTGAACTAGGCACTCACTTCTAAATCCTTTTGAGGACTGCTGTGAGGACAAATACCACCTTAGCTTATTACAGGAAGAGTGGAAACAAGTCAAGAAAAAGTGAGGTGGGGAACCTAAGCCTCATTTGAATCTTGCAAGTTAGTCAGTGCACCCCATCCAATTTAACACCATCTTAGAATGCTGTTCTTTTTTGCCAAGAGGTACAGTAATAGGAGAAAAGAGCATCTAATCAGCACAGACTAGATGTTGGGGAACTTGGAGAACCAAAGCTCTTTTGGAAACACAGTTTGGAGCAAGACCTCACCTTGAATGTTCAGCTGTTTCTTCATCATGAATCCTTTTTCTCTCAGCTAACTCAGCAGGCAAATACTTTTTCATTAGCACTTGCAGCAAGTGGGTGATACTGTATTTCCTACTTGCCAGATACTGAAGAAAAAACAAAAACCTTAAGCCATTTTTACTATAAAATGCTACTGTTCCAAAACAGTTGTCAGCTCATTTCCATCTCAAAACAGGTAATTTAGAAGTTTTAACTTAAAGCTCAGAGTTTCCTGACAAATTTATGACATTTTAGTTAGCCTTGGTAAAAAGTGTTATGCTACTGTGCTTGCATTTATCCTAAAGGACTAAGATCGCTTTCAGTTTCACAGAATGTGTCACAACTACCAAGGAAGTAAGTGTAAGAACAGGAGGGCACTCCCCCCACTCCAAAATTCTGTTCTGAGACTTTTTCAAGTTTGTGTTAAAATTTAAACAGGGTCAACACTGCAAAATGTCAAACATGAATCAACAAATACTTGTATTCAACACTGGTTACGTCTATGAAAAGTTACCTCTTTCAAGCTCTCTTTGCAGAGGGGACACTGAGGAGCATAGTCTAAACAACGCTCTAAACAGTTCTTACAGAAAGTATGGCCACAGGGAGTTGTCACAGGATGAAAGAGAAGTCTGAAATAAAATGTCAAGAAATTAGTCACTGTCAATCAGAATTACGATTCAAATTAAAAGAAAAGCTGACAAAAAAAAAACCCCTCAACAAAACATCCATAAGTTGTTTTCTAACATTTTTCTTCTTCTATAAGCCTCACACAATCATAACAATTTCCAAAGAATAGTTAGGTTTGCATAAAGCACTGCATTCTACCCTTTAGTTGCATTCTGGTTCTTTACTTGATGTGCCATTACATTCAACCACTGCATCAAGACATCGTTTGACTAGACTTGCCTCAATCTTCTCCTTTTCCCTTCTTCCCTAGCTTCTGCAACTTTGAAACAGATCTGAAAGAGTGCGGGTTGGCAGCTGTAGATCACAAGTCACAACAGCTGTTTTAGGCACTTTAATCATAGCACTTCTCAGGTTGGTACTGTACATGATTACTGCCAATTCGTGTTAAAGTGAAAAATTTAGGAATGTACTAAACTTGTTTTAAACAGCCAGATTTAAACTGCAATTAAAACAGCTTCATTTTAATTTAGGCCGCTAATGGCAGGGGGTGAGGTGTTGAAATCTGCACACCAATGGGAGCAGTTATGTGCAATTCTACTTCTAACCCTGGGGTTCCCCCACTTATTGAAGCTAAACCACAGAAAAGGATCAAAAGATCTGACACTGTGACTCATGCAAGGTATTGCTAGAATTACCATGGTTGCCTGTTTAGAAGAGGTGCTTCTTTGATATTTTTATTACATACATCTTAAGAGCAATAGAAGAGCAAGTAGAAAGGCACAGCAGCATTCCATACCAGAGGAGCCCTTTACTATGTTCTTGGCCTGAATACATGAAACACTTCCATATCAGCAGCACCAAAAATACAGTGGTGCTATGGATACTAATTCTGCATTCAGAATCACAGGCACACATCCCCACCAATGATAGCAGTAGCAGGTTTTCTGTCTTACTTCTTATGGAATGATTTCCATTTAAAATAAAAATCTTATTACCCAGTCACACTGGGCAGTTTCAGAGCGGTGATTCTCAGGCAACGATCTCTAGACAACTTACATCAAGCATATCACATCCACACACAAACATATGTCAAGTCAGTTAAATACAATAGATCCAAAATGCTTTAAGGCGCCAATTCAATTTTCCAACTCAAAGCTTCGCAGAAAACATACACCTCCCATCAGTGAGAACAATCTTCATGCGGAAAGTATAAAAAACACAATGCTCAAGATAAATATTGATAAAGAAATCTCTCATACTACCTCATACAAAGTGAACACTCAAAGTCTGACGTATCAATCAATTCCTTTGGAACTGCTCCACAGTTGAATGGAAAGTCAGTGTCCCTTTCTGTAGTTTCTAAGAACAAAACAAAAGTATTATAAAAGCAAAACAGGAAATAGAACAGGTCAGAGAACAACAATATGCATGCGTGTGTGTTAAGTACCATCAAATCATTTCTGACTTATGGTGATCCTGTGAATTAAAAGACAGGTCTTGCAAACTGAGGGCCCTGGCTTCCTTGATTGAATTAATCCATCTCATGTTGGGTTTTCCTCTTTTTCTGCTGCCTTCTATTTTTCCTAACATCATTGCCTTTTCCAATGAGTCTTCTCTTCTCATAATGTGACCAAAGCATGACAGTCTCAGTTTTGACACTTTAGCTTCAATGGGAGAGTTCAAGCTTGACTGATCTAGAAATCACGTATATGACTAAATCACGTATATGACTAAATATTTACCTCCTTGTTTTTTATGTTTATTTCTTCTGTCTTCACAAACAGTAAAATCTTGTTCTGAAAGGGACAACTTCCTTTTTAAGTAAAGACCTCTCTGCTGGACAGAAAGCAGAGGTTCAGAAGAAACCCTTTTTAATCCATCTTCTTTGGCCATTTTTTCTGTTGAGATAAGAGATCGGGTAGACTCTGCATGAGGCAGGTTTCCTCCAACAGGTTCTGATGTAACTTGATGTACTTCTAAATCCTACCAAAAGACGATGATGGGAAAAATTGATTACGTAAGCAAATTTCATTTTAAAAAATGGCAACAAAACGTCCCAACAGCAACATCTGATTGTTTTAGGCAGACCATACTTGTTATTCTGGAGAGTCAAACACCTGCATATTAAGGGCTACGTTGAAAATATACCACAGAGGATGGGAGCTGCAAGGACTCAGCAGTGGGTAGCAGCCAGGAAATTTCCCCCTTTTAAGTTCTTAGGAACTTAAGCAGGTCAGTTTCCCCTTCCTCTACTCTGACATTCAGCTGGTCTCAAAATTATGTCCCTCTTTTTTTAAAAAAAACCACAATTTATTAGGATACATTTAGACATCTTAACATATACTTAAAGTCAACAACAAAAAAAAAATATGTCCCTCTTGAGTGGCAAGAAGTATGCTCAATCATGAAAACGTTTTAGGTGTCGTCCCCCCATTTACACATTAATATTTTTCTGTTTACATGAACAAGAAACGAAGTGGCTGTGAGTTATCCTGTTTCATTGGTCTGCTGATATGCATTCTACCATTAAGTCTGCAGTTTGGGAGAGAGATAAAGTACTCCATCAGGTTGTATGTTATTAATATTATGACTGCATAAACCTATCTATATAGCTAATTCCGAAGTCGCCCCCTGGTGTGCAGATACTTATTTCCGCACATCAGGGGGACCTGGAGAGGAGGGAGAGTTTTGTGCATACGTGGGGCGGTCCCCAGGTGTGCACAAAAATCAGAAACCCTGTAAAAAATATCGGGGGGATGTTTAAATCCCCCCGAAACTGACAGAGCGTCCCCTGCGCATGCGCAGGGAACGCTCT